ATCCGACCGCTCTGGCGGCCGCAGCTCATGTGATGGCTGCCCTCAAGGCTCCCTCCGACCCCGGCCCAGCTTCGGTATCCTTTCAACCTGCCGAGCTCAAGTCCACCTCCTCGACGGCTCCGGAATCGACAGCTTTTGCCCTCGGCGCCGGTTCGGCCAACTCGGCCAGCCTTGTTGCCATGGCGGCCAGTATGGCGATGGTCATGATGACCGGTCGTCAACGCTCCCAAGATGGGTTGATGCCGGGCCAATCAGACGCAGCGGCCGGACTCTTGTCCCTGCCGCCTCCGAGCGGACTTCCGGGACGAGATGTTGTCGAGGGGAGACTCTTGCACTCGTCAGCCTCCGACGTCCGAGTCTCGCCGAGCCAGCAACCGCCGTCAGACTCGGCCAGTCTGGCTGCACGCGCTGTTGTGAGTCGGCCAGAAGTGCCAATCCGCCCAGTGGCCGACACTCACGGACTCGGGACCGAGTCCAGCCACACTCAATTGAGCACCTCGAGAGAGGCGGTGGTGCCAAGACCGACCGGCGTCGAGGCGACCAGCATCCTCAGCATCGAGCGCCTTCTCTCGGCCGCTCGATTCACGCCCGACCGCAACTCGGCCACTCCCGCCTCTGCGTCTACATGCTCTTCGCAACCATCGCCACGACCCGCCTCCACCGCCTCCTCGACAGACTCGGTCTCCACTTCGGTCGACCAGCGCTCGAGCGACCGGCGTCGTCCGGACGTCACCGCGGCGGACTCGAACCCGCCCGACGACAGACGCTCCCTGCCTGTGGCCGCCCACCACCTCGGTCCCGTCGTCTCCGCTTTCACCGCCACCGAACTGGCTCGATTCATTCTGGCCCAACACGAGGCCACCGGCTCATCCGTTGCATCATCGCCGTCGCCGTCGCCGTCACCCTCGTCGCCGTCGTCGCCATCACCGCCGTCGTCGCCGTCGTCGCCGTCGCCGTCGCCGTCGTCTTTCTTGTCGCCAGGCGTGTCCACTCGACCCGTCGTGCCGGCGTCACTGCGACCAACGCAAAGGGCCACGGCAACTTGTCGAGATGGTGGTCGACGTCTGCCACGTGACAAGCAGACAAAGCAGAAGCGACCCGGCCCTCGAGAGGATTTGGCCGACGACCGTGTCGCCATCGCCTCGGAGGCTGGAGCGTCTCCACCCGCGGCCAAGCGTGCCACGCCAGCGTCGCCGGATTCCGCCGACGCGATTGGCTGGCGGCAAAGCGAGGCCAGGCCGCAGATGATGAACGGCTTCGCCAAACGCCCACGCTCGCCGTGCACCCTCTGGCCTTCGCAACCCGGTCGACACCAACAAGCACAGACCTGCTCCACCGTCTCCAAGCCGACGGCCGGCTGGCCCCCCCACAGAGGCGCCCTGAGTCCTGAACCGTCTGCCGTCGTCGCCAACGTCAACGTCAACGCCAACGCCGACGTCGACGTCGCGTTCGAAGCTTCGCCAAACGGGCCTCGCGGCAAGGCCGGCCTCGAGCAGAAGCGACCGGGCGCAGTCTTGACCGCCCCATTCGGTAGGCCCGAGGCCGTGTTGCCAAGTGAGTCGGGTGCAAACGGGACTCGAGGGCTGGTCGGGGGCGCCGAGACGCTCGTCAACAGACTGGCCTTGGCTGCCGCGTTGACTCCGTGCAAGAGCACAGAGTCGCATGCTCCGACCTCGGACATGCTGGCGCCCAGTTTGACCTCGGGCGGGCCACAACAGGGTTGGATGAAACTGTGGCAACAGAACCCCAGTTTCGCTGCGGCCGCTGCGGCCGCCGCCGCGGCTGCCACGATTGCAGGAGCCAACTTTCTGGCCAACACTCGAGTGACGCCGTAGTCGGCGCTAGACGACGGTAGACGGCTCAAATCAGTTTTCCCAACCACCCGGAAGCCCTTTTCTCGCTCGACAATCAGCTCTACTCCCTCAGACTGGAGACCTGTGCCGCCAGCATGTCATTCTTCTTCCGACCCGAGGGCAATCAAGCGCTTTCCCAACGCATCTCTCTTCGTCATTCATTTCAACGCCAAGCCCTCACGTATCGCTGCACCAAATCAGAGACCTCGGAGCAGGCAAAAGAGGTCATCAATCAAAAGAAATACCACATTTCGCCCAGCAACCCGATGCACCAGTTGCCGGCCCAAGGAGGCCTACTTTGGCCTCATGGCCAAAGCTACTGGCCTTAAAATGCTGAAAATGGATGAATCTTCTCACACCTACTGCCGCCTGCAGATTTTGATACACGCACCTCTCCGAGGCACACACAATTGCCGCCTCCGCCAGTCTCCTGCTCGGTTTGGCATCAGTTGCCACGGCAACTATTTCCAAATGTAGCATTGTCTAAACGTCAAAACGTCGTGGCTACGGGTTTCAGGGCCCTTTTAGCCCTCTTTATCCGTCGTCTTTGGGCCCAGCAATGCTCTGCCTGTCTTCAATGCCGGCCAGTTGAGGTTGCAAACTTCACCAGCTTAGCGACCAGAACTGTTGTACCCTCGTGTTTGTTTGCTATCATGACTGCCTTGATTGCAGCCTCCTTTTTCTTCTCAACTATAGCAGAGCAACGAAAACAATTAAGAATCTTTTACTTCATGTGATCATTTGTTACTACAATTGCTCCCTATCTTTTTTTA